TGAACTTTTCACCAAGTAGAACTTGACAGATTATGAACTACCATGTGGGTGCTGGGAATTGAACCCAGGTCTTCTGGAAGAACTGCCAGTATTCTTAAATGCTGAGCCATCCCTCCAGCCCCTTACAAAGTATCTTTTAATTTCATTTTTTAAAAGTGTGTTCTCATGTGACTTTGAATTAATAATTATATTTCTTATCAATTAAATTTTAGATCAATAATAAATTTATAAGCATCAAAACAGTGTGTTATTGTTGCTAGAAGAGACAAGTCTTTGGAACAGCACAGGAAATTTCAGAACTAGTATCCTGGTACACACTCACACACACACACACACACACACACACACACACACACACACACTCACATGCAATACACACATATATGTATACACACACACCAGTACCTGAGTTTTGAGCAGAAAAATGGAACATAAAATCAATGACAAAATAAAGATCATAAGAGACACCAAAATAACAACAAAAATAACCCAGGTTGAGCATTCTGGTGCACACTTATAATTCAGCACACACAAGGTTGACAAAGGATGAACTCAAGTCATAGGCTAGCCTGGGCTACATAGCAAGACTCTGCCTCAAAACAAACAAAAGCACCACAATGACAATTGGAAAAGGAATTTGTACCACACATGTGCCCGGATTAAGGCCACTCATGTATGATTACCATGGGAAAATATTTCAGTTTTGAAATTTTTACTTCCATGTGCATGCATGCATGTGCCACATGTGTGCCAGTGGCTGAAGAAGACAAAAGTGGTCAGTGGTAGATACTGAAGCAGGAGTCCTAGGCAGTTGAGAACTGCTTGCCACGAGTGTTGGGAGCCCAGCTCAGAGCCTCTAGATGAACAAGCGCTGTCACACACTAACCGGATCTCCAGCCAGCCCCCAACATGTCACTAGAGAACTGGTACAAGAATAAGAAAAGACGCCGGGCGGTCTTGGCTCACACCTTTGAGCCCAGCACTCGGGAGGCAGAGGCAGGTGGATCTCTGTGAGTTTGAGGCCAGGCTGGTCTACACAGTGAGTTCCAGGACAGGCTCCAAAGCTAAGCAAAGAAACCCTGTCTCAAAAAAAAAGAAAGAAAGAAAAAGAAAGAAGGAAAAAGAAAAGGCGGGCTAGAGAAAGGGCTCAGTGGTTAGAGCACATATTACTGTCATTCTTGCAGAAGATCTGACTTCAATTCCCAGCACCCATGGGAATCAGATAACTCACAACTGCCTAGAACTCCAGCTTTAGGGAGCTGACGCCTCTCTTATCTCCTTGAGCACATACAAAAACACATCCATACACTTTTAGAAAATGAATAAGGGCAAGGCAGTGGTGGCTCATGCCTTTAATCCCAGCATTCAGGAGGCAGAGGCAGGCAGATCTCTGTGAGTTCCTGGTCTACAGAGTGAGCTCCAGTTCCACAACAGCCAGGGCTTCACAGAGAAACCTTGTCTTGAAAACAAAAAAGAAAGAAAGAAGGAAAAGATAATTCACAAAGTAAATTCAGAATAAACCCAATAAACTTAAAAACGGTTTAATCTCACTAGAAGTAAAAAGAAATGTAACTCGAGTAACCATTTCAGTTTTAACCTGTTACTAAAAGTTGGGTTTGTTGCTTGGTTGTTTGTTTGACTTTGTTTAATTTTGCTATGCTGGAGATGGACCCCAAGGCCTCCCCAGGACTAGACAAGAGCTCTAATGTTGAGCTACACACCCAGCCAACAGCAGCTTTATTTGATGACAAAGCTAAGTGGTTTTAAGGAATAAATGAGGAAAGGCCTCCCACATGCTTGTAGGAGAGTGTAAGTGTGGTGGTTTGAATGAGAATGGCCCCCAATAGGCTCACATATTTGAATTTTGATTCCAAGATGGTGGAACTGTTTGGGAAGGATTAGGAGGTGTGGCCTTGTTGAAGGAGGTTATGTCACTGGGGTAGGCTTTGAAGTTTCAAAAGTCCATGGCTAGCCAAGCTAGTTCTCTTTCTCTGCCTCCTACTTGTGAATAAGACTTAAGCTCTCAGCTGCTGCTCCAGTGGCATGCCTGCCTGCATGTTTGCCTGCATATCAGCCTACTTGCCTACATTCCTTCCTATATGCTTGCCTGCATACCTGCCTGCATGCCTGCCTACATACCTGTTTGCCTGCCTGCCTGTTATTATGCTCCACCCATGGTCATGGACTCACCTCTGAAACTATAAACCAAATAAATTCGGTCTTCTATAAATTGCTTTGGTAATGTTGTTTCTTCACAGCAATAGAAAAGTAGCTTATACAGATGTCAGTGCCAGAAAGTGGGCTATTGCTATGACAGGCCTGACCATGCTGTCTTGGAAGGAATGTGGAAAACTTTGGGACTTTGGACTAGGAAAGCTCTTGAATGACTTAAGTGGGACTATTGGACCATTCCAAGAGGAGCCTGGAGCAATGTGGATTATGGAGATACAGCTTAAGAGGTTTTGTAGGGGAAAAATATTAAGAACTGGGCTAGAGACCAGTCTTGCGATATTTTGGCAAAGAATGTAACTGTTTTTCCCCCTTGTCCTAAGGGTATTCTGTAGTCGGAAGTTTTCCTGTGTCCCACCCTTCCCACAGCAACTTGGACAAGTAAACACACAGGGACTTTTATTACTTACAAACTGTATGGCCTAATGGCTCAGGCTTCTTGCTAGCTAGTTACTATAACTTAACCCATTTCTATTAATCTATAAGTTGCCACGTGGCTGTGGCTTACTGGTACTTTCACATCTTGCTTCTCATGGTGGTGCTGGCGTCTCTCTCCTCTGCCTTTCTTCTTCCTGTCTCCCTCTTCAGTTCCCATCTAACTATAACCTGATATTCCTGAGGCCAAAACCAAAGACTTTTGAACTAATTTCACTGGCAGAGGAGATTTCTTCATATATATATATATATATATATATGTGTGTGTGTGTGTGTGTATCTTGTTTAATTTTTATTTTTTTTTAATTTTTATTATTATTAAGAGATTTTATATTCATTTTACATACCAACCACAAGATTCCCCTCTCCTCCCACCCCCAGCCTTCCTCCCCAAACCCATCCCCCATTCCCACCTCCTCCAAGGCAAGGTCTCTCACAGGGACTCAGCAGAGCCTGGTACTTTCAGTTGTGGCAAATCCAAGCCCCTCCTCCCTGCACCAAGGCTGTGAAAAGTGTCCCACCATAGGCACTGGGCTCCAAAAAGCCGGCTCATGCACCAAGGACAGGTCCCAATCCCACTGGCAGAGGAGATTTCAAGACAGCCTAATATTGATTCTGTTGCATGGTTATTAGGGATCATTCTACCCCAGATCTACATTGGAAAAGAGCAAGCCAGTAAGCAGCACCCCTCCATGGCCTCTGCATCAATTCCTGCCTTGAGGATCCTTCCCTGTTTGAGTTCCTGTCCTGACTTCCTTTGATGATGAACAGTAATGTGGAAGTGTAAGCTAAAATAAACCCTTTTCTCTGCAAGTTGCTTTTGGTAGTGGTGTTTCATCATGGCAATAGGAACCCTGATTAGGCCAGAAATCTACCCTGTTTCTGGAGAATAAGAGCACTGAGATGCAGACTCACCTATAGGAATATATAACCAGAAAATACTGGTGCACCAGGATGCCAGCATTTCAGCTTAGGTAACTTACAAACGCCAGTATTAGAATTCACACCCTTAAAGGAGAGACGGGGACAGTGAGATAGCACATGTCCACAGGGCAGAATTTTAGGTGGCAAGCACAGGCATTCTGGAAAGGCAAGTGTATGGAGACTGAATGGGAATCACTGGTGGTGGGGCAGGGAGGCAGGGGAATGGCTAAAAGAAAAGCTGAGACAATTTAGGCGAAAAGAGGAGGTTTCCAGATCTGAGATGTATTTGCAAATGTAACTAAATTTCGTCCAAAGTTATGGAAGCTTGTACCAAAAGTGTGATATCTTGTCTAAATTATACCTCAGTAAACTTGACGCCCAGGAAACAGCCCACATAGATCTAAACAGCCAGTTCAGTAGAAGAAGTCATTTGCAAAGCAGCATGCACAGTGTAGTCAGACTGGGTTGGTAGTGGCATATTATACGAGAGACAGAGATGGAAGAAAATGCTCCTAGATGTGCGAACAGTTTCCTCTAAAGGACATAGATGAAATTAGATACATTTTTGGGACCAAAGTTCCAGGAAAGAAGCTGTACCTTTGTCTGAGCCCTTGGCGAGGGGGATTAACTCCTTAGAACCTTAATGATTGTGGAGAATTTCAAATATTGCAAGTCCAGAGCCAAATTCTCTTGGGACAACTTTATCCCTTATAATAGCCATTCATTGTCCCTATTTGTACCTAACCTAACATCTTTGTGACCATTAGGCAAATTCTTTGGAATATACAAATGCCTGGCTCCCACCAACCTAAACGGGAGCCATCAGTTAGCACCCAAGGCCTACAGCAGAGGCTCCTCCATCGGCGTTGACCCTCCCACTGAATGTCTTCACTAATACATGTATTTTGAAGTGCCTTGGTTTATGGTTTTCTTGGTTCTACTACTGCAAAAACCTCATCAAACTGCTAGTGTGTGGAAACACAAATTTTTAGGTAACCTTATCTAGTTATCCAGCCACAGCTCCACAATAAACTCTCATCCTCTTTCAGGTGAGAGAAGTGAATTTTGTGCCCACATTTTTCTCACTAAGTTTGTGTATGTATGTGAGTGGTTTTTGTTTCAGTTTTGATTTAATGGCAACCAGCTGTCACCTCTCTCTCTCTCTCTCTCTCTCTCTCTCTCTCTCTGTGTGTGTGTGTGTGTGTGTGTGTGTGTGTGTGTGTGTGTGTGTGTGTGTGAAGCGTCAGTCAGGATAGAAACCAATCTCAGAGGTAAGCAGAAGCCCAAAGAGCAGGTGCCTACTTCCCCTATTGCTTTCAAACATTTACCAGGACACTGACTCATTGCAAGGGGCGGGGCCATGTCCCTATTGGTTCAGAAGCAAGAGTCTCTCCTTCTCTCTTCAGATTTAAGTCACTTCCTAAGCTTACCAGCTACCAACACATCTCACCATGTTGGGTTAGTAGCCCTCAGCCCTGACATGGCCTGGGAACTGGGCTCCCAATGCAAGCCTGCCAAGAACTGACTGACATCAGCCAACTCTAACCTTTTCTACCCACCCCATCTCTCCCTAGGAACTGTGATTGGTGCTGCAATAGGAGGAGGTATGTGTCTGGTACCTGCTGGGAGGAGGTGGGGCTTTGTGCTTGGAGGTGGGCTCCATGCCAGCTCCTGCCTTCTGTTGGATTATGGAGCTGCCTGGGTCTACCAAGGGCCAGAATTATGCTCACTCCAGGGATGAGCTTAAGGTTGCCTGCCCAGCTTAAGATTTCCTGCCTCACTTCTTTTTCAGACCTTACATATGATGAGCAGCAAGTAGAGAATTTGTTGAGCTGGGGAAGGGGCAGCTACTTAAAACAGCAGAAGTGGTTAATTTTATCCCCACAAACCTGAGAGTTGGAAAAGTATGATGATTTCTCCAGTGTCACATAGCTTGGCAAGACTATGTCTCTTTCAGATTCTCTACAGACCTCTTTGCCTCTACCTAGCTCGCTGCCCTACCCTCCTCCCCCTTCTCCTCCTCGTCCTCCTCTTCCTCTTCCTCCTCTTGCTCCTCATCCTCCTTCTCCTCCTCCTCCTTTTTAAGATTTATTTATTTATTATGTATACAGTGTTCTGTGCACATGTAGCCCTGCTGGCCAGAAGAGAGCAACAGATCTCATTATAGATGGTTGTAAGCCACCCTGTGGTTGCTGAGAACTGAACTCGGAAACTCTCCAAGAGCAGGCAGCGCAACTAAACTCTGAGTCATCTCTCCAGCCCCAGAATCCTTCTTTACCTTGTGACCTCTTTCCATGCTGTTTAGAATAGATAGACCCCTCCCAAACAGTCAAAGAATTCTTGAGTGAATCTTTCCCCTGAGCCCACACCACCCAGCTCCTCTCCCCACAGTTGTGGCTGTGACGGCTGCACCCGTAGCCCTGGGTGCCATGGGCTTCACTGGGACAGGAATAGCAGCAGCATCCATAGCAGCCAAGATGATGTCAGCAGCAGCAATCGCCAATGGGGGTGGAGTTGCAGCAGGGAGCCTGGTAGCCACACTACAGTCAGTGGGTAAGTGTCAGTCCAGGCAAGATGTCTGGAGACCCAGCCAAGGAAGGCATCTCCCTTCCTCTCCCTACAGTCCAACCTTTTATATGACCTATGTCTTCTAGTTCTGTCCCTACTGTCTGGTTCATTGTGAGTGAGGTTGGGGATTGGTGCAGGGGTGAGGGGCACTGGATGGCAGAAGCAGGAAGGAGCCCTGGTCCAAGATGCATGCTACCTGGGCTCTGAATCTTCCCTACCTGGTTGTCCTTCTCCAGTGTGTCCCCTCTGTACTGCAATGTAGAGAGGGTGTTCCTCTCTGGAGAGCTCTCCCTCCTATATCTCAGCTTACCCAAATCTGTCTTCTCCTTCTGGTCTGACACTTTGAATATCACTGTCCAAAGCAGAACCCTAGAGTTCAGACAAAAGGGCAGTGGGCCATCTCTAAACCTTAGGAGACTGACTATCACTGTATTGTCTCCTTCCCAGGGGTTGTTGGACTCTCTACATCAACCAACATCATCCTGGGCACAGCTGGGGCAGCCATCGGAGCCTTGCTTTGAACTTAGGAGACAACACCTCTACCAGCTGAACCCAAAGCCTTTAAGGAATATCCAGGAGACAGTGTACCCCAAGATGAGCCTCCAAATCTCCCATTGAATCCACTGAAAGATGAAAAATAAAGGTTATATGCTGGTGTGCCGATCTTTGCTTGTGGTGGCTTTTTGAAGGGAGTTGTGGACTGGGAATTTTGAGTCTTCCGTTTCCCCAACCAGACTCAAGCTGGAGATCAAAGGGAGGTGACAGGTTGTCCAACACACAGTCAGTAGTTAGAAGGCTTTACATGGTCCCTGCCATAGTGGAGCTGGTCTGTGTGGCATGGGGGCTTTTTGAGTCCTTGTGGACCTCAGTTGTTCCTTATTAAAGGTTGGGTTGACAGAGATTCCTGTCCTGAGCAAACATGAGAGGTAGCCAAGAACATTGACCCCAGAGCTCTTGGTCCTTCCTCATCAATGGTTCTGGATGTCCAGGGCTGTGAGCAGCACATTCCTAACCCATGGTACTGCTGAAAGGCTGACATGAACCACCAGGAAATGCACTGGGCTTAGCTAATGCACTGGTACCTGGGAAAGAGATAGCATCAAAATAGTCAGCACCATACAGCATCCATAAAATTGAAAGGGAGGCTGAAAGTCTTGCCTTACGTCCTGGGACCCTGACCACACCCTCATCCAAGGCTGGTATTCATCGCCCGTGTGATTGGTGCATAATGCAGTGCTGGACAGAATCCACACTGACACACGAAGGGCCTTGAGGCAGGAGGATTCTGGCATTTATGAAACAATTATGACACAGGACACTGTTCACTGCGGTGACAGGTACCAGGCACATTTGCAGAACACAGAGGCAGGATTCTGATCTCATGAAAAGATCTGGAAAACTGAGACAAGGAAAGGCCTGTAGAAGTCTATCCGGGGAGCACACAGAGGGAGATGGGGTTGTGTGAGGGCATCTGTTAGGTCTGATCTGATGGCTTGGTCTGCATCAGTAACTTCCAGGCAATCAAGGGGAGCATCCATTGGGTTATTGTCTGGCAGCAGGCTGTCTTACAGAAACAGGTGTGGGCCTGGTCCAGGAGAAGTGACTGGTAATGCATCATTCCAGCATTGGATACCCACCTCTCTGGGGTCCCCCCTCAAGAAGGCCTCAACAGAGTATGTGATGTTAGGAATAGGTCCTGGCCAAAGTCTGTCAGCTTCATGATTAGCATAGCTGTAATGGCCAACCAGCAGAAACAGGATCAAGTCTGTTGGACAGAGAGGCCAAAGGCCTCTACCAGGATCCCAATACCTGAGCTAGGACACTCCCCCTTTGAAGTCATTTATATTGGACAGGATGCCCTTGTCCCCTCTTCCTTTCCTGGTATCTCTGATATTTCCCTCTGGGATCTCTTTTATAGGTCTCTCTGAGTACTGCCAGGACTGCCCAGGTCAACCTCTTGCTTTGCATTGTTTTTTCCACATGGTCATAGTTACTGTTAACTTTTTGAGCAGTCTCCAATAATTGGGACCCATTTGTATCTGCAAGCCCTTCTGACTTTGGAAGTTTCTTTTTCTACTACCTGGGGCTGACTGCATGAGAAAAGCAGTACTGGTTGCTCCCTGCTTTTCTGGCCCCTCTGGGTCTATGACAGTGAACATCAGGTGACAGTCACAGAAGTGCTCTGGGAACCCAGTAGGTGATTCCTGGGACTCGTGTAATACCTCACTCACCTTAGACATATTGGGAATTTTTCTAGCATCTGCCATCGATCCTTGGAAAAGGACCTGAGAACAATTTTTCAGAGCCTCCTTACCTTGGGCAGTGTTGGAGTCCCAGTCAGATCAGGCAGAGCGAAAACCCTCTCTCTGGTGGCTGCACTGTGTGGCAGTGATCCAGACCCAAGCCTCATCTGTCCCTCCCTTCAGCCATGAAGAGGGTGTCCAGGAGTTGTTGCCTGTCATCCCAGGTCAGCTGGTGGATATAAAAATCTCTCTAGGAGACTAATGAGGGCCTAAGGATTCTCAGGGAAAGGTGGGTTTTGAGTCTTCCATTATACAGGTCACTGCTTGTAAAGGAGACATGAATTATGAAAGGGGAGAGGGGAACCTTTGGGTCTTGGGTCACTGGGAGGGGGGGATGTGCCTCCCTTGGAGGGAGGATGAGGTCTGTCTCTGCCCCGCAGGGAAATCCCTCCTGGAGCCTCCAAAGCTAGAACCACTCTGCCTGTGTGGAGGGGAGTGGGGGGCCAAGGTAGAAGACACTACCACTTCCATCTAGCCGGTGCGACCAGTGAACTATTTTTCCCTTCCAAGCATGGGCAAGGACTGGGCTGGGCATACAAAGAGGGAAAATCGTTTCCTCTAGTGGAGCTGCAGGATGGAGAGAATAGGTAGAGGTTTGGAGTTTCTCTGGTGACCTAGCTGAAACAGAAGGTGTGAGGGCAGGTCACCAAAAATAATCACTGGATATATACGTGGAGGTAGTACGGATCCAAACCGGGCTCTGGCTCTGAGATGAGTGGCACACGGCAGGATGCCATGCTAAAACTCCTCTTAGGGACCGAGCCAGGCCCCGCCTGGCTGGGATCTGGAAAGTCCTTTAGGTCAACTCCTCACTTAGGGAGGGCCCATTGAGGAGGGGACCTGCTCAGAGTGAAGGGATCAGGAGCAGGGCAAAGGGCAGCTTCTGTTTTCACATTCACATTCATTCCACCTGAGCACTCACCTGTACCATGTGTCTCTGTGACAAGATGGTGGGGGAGAGAGGTGAGCCTAACCCACCCACGCCCAGGGAGCAGAGAGGTCCTTGTTCAACCTCTCCCACACCAACAGCACATGATGTGAAGAGAATGATAAGGCTGGCAGCAGCATTTGATTTTATTTCTTATTTCCAATTAGGCATTTGGCGTTAGCAAATTGTCCACGGGGGTGAATTGATCCCTCTCTGGGGTTGGACAAGCTGGGAGGTGTCACCTCCCCTTCTCTCTCCCCTTCTCTGGGCAGAGAAGGGTTACAAGTCTCAGATGCCCATCACACAGGTCACCAGAGCAGCCTGCAGAGCCCACGAGGAATTTCGATGACATGGAGAGTCCTGCAGCTCCTGGGGAAAAAGAAAGGATGAAAATCGGAGGTGGGATGAAAACTGTGGGGTCCGAGAGTGTCATGGTTGCCAGGGTCAATCAGGATTGCCTGAAGCATAGAGTCTCCACAGAATCCTCTCTCTTCCCAAAATCTCCAGGACCTGTGTCTAGCACAGTTTGTTTGAAAGGAGTAATTCCATGAAAAAACTCTAGGGAAAATCAATCCACTGGGTAACATCACCATCTATAAGGAAGAAGGTTGAACTTTTAAGGTGGACATTTGAACCCTAGTTAAGCTGGCCAGGGATACTCCCCCATCTCCTCCACCTCCACTGCAAAAACCCAGCAGAAGCTAAAGCAGGAAGTGAGAAGCTGGACTATGTCTGGCTCTCATTCTAGTCCTCTTGCCCTGACACTTACCCACTGACTGCAGAGTGGCCACCAGGCTACCAGCTGCAACTCCGCCTCCATTAGCAATAGCTGACAAGGACATCATCTTAGCTGCTAGAGAGGAGGCAGCGATTCCTGCCCCAGTGAAGCCCACAGCACTCAGCACGGGGGGCACGGCAGCGACGGTCATGGCTGTGGGAAGAGGGGCTTTGTAGGTAAATTTGGAGAAAGGGACCCCCAACACACTGGGTCAAACCTGGGGGAACTGCTGGGGTCTGGAGAAGGAGAGAATAAGTAGAGCAGGCTAGACCAGGGCTTTCCCTCTTCCCTCTAAGTCCTCCTGGGAGAAACCCAGAGAGCAAAGGTGTAATGTGAGGCAAGAGGCAGGCTCTGAACCAGAGAGCCACGAGCCAGGGAGCATAGGAAGACAGTAGATGTTGGTCACTGAAGATGGAGTCCTAGGCTGGCTCTGATTGGTAGCAAGATCTTCATCAGGAAAGGTGCTGTTGGGGCCTCAGTGTCTGTCTTGGTCTAATGCTGGGCTAAGAGAACAGCCCAAAGTAAGTGTTTACAGAGGATCACATCTTGCCCAGGAGACAGCAGAAGCACCGGACACAACTGTTGAGGCTGAAGGAGACATCCCAGAGTCCTGCTGTGTCTCCAGTGAGCATGTCAGGAGGCAACAAGCTGATGGTGCCTGCATAGCATGTCCAGTACATTCCAACTCTCTGCTTCTCTCAGCCATACAGCACCCTGGAAATCTCTAAATGAGCTCCACAAACTCTCTTTTTCAAGGAAACAAGGAGCTCAGAGGAGTGTAAATATATCCACCAGGCCACAAGGTGACTATTTTCGCACAAGGTGGAAGGTACCTGCTGAAGATGTGGCCTCTTTGACTCTACACTACACTCCCTCCTTGCTTCTGTTCCTTCTTTCTGGACACTTCTTTCATCCCATCTCCACCCTTACCCCACCACCTCCAGGGAAGCCTGCTGGGACAGGATGGGCTGCTTCCTGACTCCCTTCATACAGGAAGGCCATGATGGAAGTGTGACATTGGGCAGGATGTTGCACCCAGTATAACTATCCCCTGGCTCCCCACCCTTGACCCTTCATGGGCACTCACCATGTGAGCTAGCTAGAATGGTGCCAGAGACTGCCCCTCCAGCTTTGCCCATGGCTGCTGAAGCTGTTATTCTTGAGACCAGGGAAGCCACCAGTGTGCCTTTTTCAGACAATGCACTGGAGTCGAGTCGGGGTTCCAAACACTACTCAGAGCTGTAAAAGGTTGTGGAGCTTTGAGTAGGAGATTGGGGACCCAGAAGTTGATTTCCACCAACTAACTGAAAACCCTGAGGGGCTCCTTGGTGGATAGAGAAGCTGCCCAGGGTTGGTGATAACAGTGGGCCTATCCCCTGTCTTGGGGTGCAAAATCCTGCCCCTGTTGAATAGCTGGGAAATCAGGAACCATTTCAGACATGCAAGTTTTTTTGTTCCAGGGCAGAAGACTCAATGTCAAAGACATTAGGCACAAACCCGCCAGGTCCAGCTGCTTACAAATTGCAGGCTCTAACTATGCTACTCCTAACACTGGAACTCACTTCACCTACCCTCTAGCTTACTGGGGCAGTCCCGGCCTTGGGTCCCTTCCTTTTATGTACACTGGCCTCCTCTCAGCCTTTAAGGGCTTTTGTCACCAAGGCTAGGGGCTTCAGGAAGGAGCTGAAATGACACCCACCAACAACAACAACAACCCCACCCTTCCACCCACCCCTGCTGGATCTTGGATGTGTTTCTGGAAAATCAAGTTCTTTTCAGAGGGGAAAATCCACTGCTTGTAGACATATCCTGTTACTGAAGGCAGCCAATGAAATAAGTTTCATTTTCCCCTCCTCTATCCGTGCCTGAAATATCCATTGTTTTTGAAGACACACCCAGTGATGCAAGGCAGCCAATGAGATAGGTTTCGATTTCCCTGTTTTCTCTGGTCCTGAAAAAAACACTCTGGTTGAAGACACGCCCAATCATGGAAGGCAGCCAATGAGACAGGTTTTTTTTATCTGCTCTCTCCCGGTCTTTCTGGGTTGGAAAAAATGTCCTATTATTCTATAACTCAGTCTTTCTGAGTGTTACTGTGTTTACAATGTTTTGTAACATGTTACTTCTTTTCCAGGGTTGATTTTTTCCCCCCACCCATGACAGTGATGCAGTATAAACTTGAAGCAATAAAATTGATGCTCTGAAGATTTACTAATAATCTTGCTTAGGAAATATTAAGTTACACTAAGTGGAATTTAACTAAAGGAGTGTTGCTTCCAATATGACTAGAAGGTATGTGGTATATAACCAGTTTTGGTGTAGAGTGTGGAAAAGGAAAGTTTGTACCATAGTTGAAGTTTAGGGGTGCTGAGAAAGTTTCTGCTATTGTTCACCAAGATGGACACCCCTCCCCCAATTAGTCTCCATTCCCATAACAACAGGAGACAACCCTGACTCACAATCAGCCATTAGTTCCATCCTCACATCAAAGAACATGCCTCTAAAGGACAGCTCCAGGGAGCATTGCAAGGTTGCAACTAGCATTGAGTCCTGGTCTGCCATCAAGTCCCCTGACCTCTTACCAGGAGAGGCTTAATTTTGCAGGTGGGGGAGATGGACTTGGGTAGCAAACATTCGAAAAGAACAACACTGGTGTACTTAAGCAATTCTGACAATATCTTTGCTGCATAAACCTCCCTTCTGCTCAAGTGCCCAGACAGGCAGTTTGCTGTCTCAGTTTAAATTGTTCCAAGTGTGCACTGGGGCTGGGACGGAAAGAGATTTAAGGATGACAGCATGTGTGAACTGCTAAACCTACCGTGTAAAGAAGTTAGTAAAATCTTCTATTCGTGGCCAGATACTCTTTGTGCATTAGCTACAGCTTATTATTATTATTATTATTATTATTATTATTATTATTATTATTATTATTAACCCCTCTTCTGGCCTCCATGGGCACCAGGCACACTGGTAATGTACAGGTATACATATAGCCAAGTCACTTCTACACATAAAATAAATAAATGAGTTTTTAAAATGTCAACCTGCTGCCTTCTCATAATTTTATATCTATCTCTAAATAAAAGGTGGCTTAAAGATTCAAATCCTGTCCCTATTCAGTGGCTTTTGTAGTGACAGGTATATGAAAATCTGACATTTTGGTTTCAAGATTGTCTTTCTCTCTTTCCTCCTAATGCTGGGGATTGAACCCAGAACCCTGTGCAAGTAAGGTAAACAGTCTACTACTAAGCCACACTCACCATAACCCCTGGCTTTTTGATAGAGAGCCCTGACATTCAAGCCAGATTGCCCCTGAACTCTGCATCTTCAGGCTACACACTGATCGGTTGTGAGGTGTCCAATAGCTTCCAACAGCCAAAAACCAAATATTCTAGCCAGGTACTGTGATACACACCTTTAATCTCAGCTTTCAGGAGGTTGATGCAGGTGGAGCTCTGTGAGTTAGAGGCCAGCCTAGACTGCAGAGTGAGTTCCAGGACCACCAGGGCTATGTAGAGAGACCCTGTCCCCAAAACAAAACCATCCAAGCAAACAAATAACAAATATTCTAGTGATTAGCCAACTTATTTTATTAAAAAAAATCATGTAGACCGGGGCTGTATCTGAAGGTAGAATGCTTGCCTACTGTACAGAGAGCCTTAGATTTGATCCTCAGCATGGAATAAACCAGGCATGTTGATATATGCTTATAATCCCACACCATCAAAGTGGACTCAGAAGGTTCAAGATCATCCTCAGTGTCATACTTATTTCGAGGCTTGCCTTGGCAAAATTCATTTATTCTATCAATTTTTACAACATTTCTAATTTTTGACATTCCCCTTGTGAGAGCTAAAGTTAAGTTTAAATTACTGTGCTTGAGAGTTATATAAAACACAAACACCTCTTACTTGTAAGCCCTACTTGTCCAAGGACAGATAAACCACAGCCTCCCCTTTCTCTAAGGATAGATAACTTCCTGGAATGCTGGCGTTTGTTGTTCGTGTAAGATAACAAGTCATATGTTTTCAATTCAGGAAACAAGGTCAGTTGCCCCAACTGCACAGGATGTGCTTGAGCACACGTAGGAGGGAGATACAAAGGCAGGAAGTACAGCTGTATACTTGCCCTTCATTTGACAATGGTGAAAAGGATGTAGCCTTGTGCATTTTTGCCTTTAGAAAATTCAGAACCGTTCTTTGGGAATCCCGGGTACGGACCTAGCCAGTGTGCACTGTCCTAGCCAGGATTGAATAGAACTTGCTTCAAATTTGGCTCAAAATTGTGGTAGAGGTCTTATTCTCCCTAGTGGGATTAACACCCTCCCAGAAAATATTTAATATAATTGGTCAGTAAAATTCTGAAGTATTGTCTCTTTTGAAGATTCTGTTGTTATAGCAATAATACACCTTCCCAGTGAGAAATCACTCCACATATGTGGAGATTAGTAAAGAAAAGGTGGGAGGGGATTGGTCTCAGTGGTTAAGAATACTTCTGTTGCTGTCTAGGTCCTGGGTTTGATTCCCAGCAACAACATGGAGGCTCAGCACTTACTCAGGCACCAAACACACAGAGATACAGGTTGACAAAACACGCATACACATAAAATAGTAAAAATAATTCTAAAACATTTTTAAAGGAAAAGGCTTAATAGTAATAAATACATAAATACATAAAAACGCAAATAATAGACAAGCTCTGATAAATTCACAAAGAGTATCTGGCCACGAATAGAAGATTTTACTAACTTCTTTACACGGTAGGTTTAGCAGTTCACACATGCTGTCATCCTTAAATCTCTTTCCGTCCCAGCCCCAGTGCACACTTGGAACAATTTAAACTGAGACAGCAAACTGCCTGTCTGGGCACTTGAGCAGAAGGGAGGTTTATGCAGCAAAGATATTGTCAGAATTGCTTAAGTACACCAGTGTTGTTCTTTTCGAATGTTTGCTACCCAAGTCCATCTTCCCCACCTGCAAAATTAAGCCTCTCCTGGTAAGAGGTCAGGGGACTTGATGGCAGACCAGGACTCAATGCTAGTTGCAACCTTGCAATGCTCCCTGGAGCTGTCCTTTAGAGGCATGTTCTTTGATGTGAGGATGGAACTAATGGCTGATTGTGAGTCAGGGTTGTCTCCTGTTGTTATGGGAATGGAGACTAATTGGGGGAGGGGTGTCCATCTTGGTGAACAATAGCAGAAACTTTCTCAGCACCCCTAAACTTCAACTATGGTACAAACTTTCCTTTTCCACACTCTACACCAAAACTGGTTATATACCACATACCTTCTAGTCATATTGGAAGCAACACTCCTTTAGTTAAATTCCACTTAGTGTAACTTAATATTTCCTAAGCAAGATTATTAGTAAATCTTCAGAGCATCAATTTTATTGCTTCAAGTTTATACTGCATCACTGTCATGGGTGGGGGGAAAAAATCAACCCTGGAAAAGAAGTAACATGTTACAAAACATTGTAAACACAGTAACACTCAGAAAGACTGAATTATATAGAATAATAGGACATTTTTTCCAACCCAGAAAGACCGGGAGAGAGCAGATAAAAAAAACCTGTCTCATTGGCTGCCTTCCATGATTGGGTGTGTCTTCAACTAGAGTGTTTTGTTTTGTTTTTTCAGGACCAGAGAGAAGAGGAAAAAACAAAATCTATCCCATTGGCTGCCTTGCATCACTGGGTGTGTCTCCAACCAGAGTGGATTTTTCAGGAGGGGAGAAGAAGGGGAAAGGAAACCAACTCACTGGCTGTCTTGCATGTCTAGGTATGTCTTCAACCGCAGTGGATTTTCCCCTCTGAAAAGAACTTGATTTTCCAGAAACACATCTAAGATCCAGCAGGGGTGGGTGGGAGGGTGGGGTTGTTGTTGTTGTTGGTGGTCTGTGTCCCATCTGTTGGTTAAGTGGCGGCGCTTGTGGCT